ATAAGCATTTCGCTTGTAAGTTAGTATGAGATAAATCTTGCAACTGAATTTAAAACCAGTTCTCCTTAACCAATTGAGCTGAAATTTGGTATACTTGTGTAAGTACGATGACAATTCAATATTATGGTACCATTGAGCTGGATGGAGTATGGAGGTGGCCATAAGAACTCTTAACGAAACGGCGGAATTACATCTAGTTTGGGTTCGTTGGACTTGTCTTTTCGAGCACTTTAGTGCTAGATGATGTTCAGGGTCCTGATGATGAAGTCAAAAGGTGGCAGGAGCTGGCCATAGGAACTCCTAAACGAAACGGCGGAAGCTTATCGAGTTTGGGTTCGTTGGATTTGTCTTCCCGAGGTTCAAGGTGAATCGTTTTAGCACTCCCACCTCACTTGTTCTAACAGTAGCTCACTTACAAAAGAATTTGTATCCAGCCGTTGTCTGCTATCTCTGGAGGTCATCGGTCCATCGAGCATGGGGCTACATCATTAAGACTGTTTCAATGAGGGTTTTCGCCAATGAAAAATCCGCCAGATGGCAATACGTAGACGCGAGGTCCAAATGCTGCATGATTGGTTATTTTTGACATGACATTGACAGATATGTCAAAATCCACCAATCACGCAGCAGTCAGACCCCACATCCACGTCCCGCCATCTAGCGGATCTTTCATTCGCGAAAACCCTCATTGACCAATTAATCAAATTCAAAATTGTCTTTATTTGTTTCTAATTAAATTGTTTAAATTATTATTAATATCTACCCTGTTCATAATTCCAGATAAAACCATTCGTGTGATGAAGTGCGTCCTGTCAGGCCTGTTCCCTCAAGCGGCCTACCTCAGCACGACCGGCGAGTATCGCGGCCTCAGAGGCGCCACGCTACACATCAGCCCCGACAGCTGTCTCTACCACACACAACAGCCCAAGTGGTGAGTCACAGTAACTGACACTCGAGTGTAGCCTGACAGGCTCCCGCAAGCGACCTACCTAAGTACCACCGGCGAGTGTCGCGGCCTCAGAGGCGCCACGCTACACATCAGCCCCGACAGCTGTCTCTACCACACACAACAGCCTAAGTGGTGAGTCACAGTAACTAATACTCGAGTGTAGCCTGTCAGGCTCCCGCAAGCGGCCTACCTCAGCACGACCGATTTTTGCAGTTAAAAAAGGTTTTTAACCTAAAGTTTAGTAGTTTTTAACCTTAAGGTAATTAGAACCACACATACTTTTCTATGATAAATAAAACCACCATTTGTTCCCAGGGTGGTATTCGCGAGCGTCCAAAGCACCGGCGATAAGACGTTGATGCGTGAACTGACTTTGACCCAGGAGACGTGGCTTCTTGAGGTGGCGCCGCACTACTACCGGCAGACCTAATACACTGGCGATTGATATTATTATGTGAGTTTTATTTCATTCCTACCCGCACCCACATTCCTTAAGGCAGCAGCTCGTATAGTGACAGAGACAAGAGACCGAGATAAGACACTGAGACAAGAGACTGAAATAAGAGACCGAGACAAGAGACTGAAATAGGAGACCGAGATAAGAGACTGAAACAGGAGACCGAGATAAGAGACCGAGACAAGAGACCGAGACAATTCAAGAGACCGAGACTAGACCGAGACAAGTCAAGAGACCGAGACAAGAGACCGAGACAAGAGACTGAGACAATTCAAGAGACCGAGACTAGACCGAGACAAGTCAAGAGACCGAGACAAGAGACCAAGACAAGAGACTGAGACAAGAGACCGATATAAGAGACTACGTCAAGAGACCGAGACTAGACCGAGACAAGAGACAGAAACAAGAGACTGAGACAAGAGACCGAGAAAAAAGACTAAAAGAAGAGACTGCGACAAGAGACTAAGTCAAGAGACTAAGATAAGAGACTAATAAAAAAGACTGCGACAAGAGACCGAGACAAGGGGCTGAGACAAGAGACTGAGACAAGAGACCGGGAAAAGAGACTGCGACAAGAGACCGAGACAAGAGACCGAGACAAGAGATTGACACAAGAGACCGAGATTCTAAAGGCGGTGGCTTGCATAGTGAGAGAGACGTGGTTTGATGACCTGACGATGATAATGATGATGATGACGTCATCTCCAGGGTGTTCTCCAGCTTCCAAAGCGCCGGCGACAAGACGTTGATGCGTGAACTGACTTTGACCCAGGAGGCGTGGCTTCTTGAGGTGGCGCCGCACTACTACCGGCAGACCTAATACACTATGATATGGGATATGTGAGTTTCATTCCATTCCTATCCACATCCACATTACACGTTCCTATAGTGAAAGAGACAAGAGACTGAGACTGGAGACCGAGACAAGAGACTACGTCAAAAAACCGAGATTAGACTTGTCTCTGTCGCACGGTTCGTATAGTAGCAGAGACCTAATACACTGGCGATGTATATTATTATGTGAGTTTCATTTCATTCCTATGCATCCACGTTCCTTAAGGCGGCTCGTATAGTGGCAGAGACAAGAGAACGAGACAATAGACTGAAATAGGAGACCGAGACAAGAGACCGAGACATGAGACCGAGACCGAAACAAGATACTGACAGGAGACCCAGAAAAAAGAATAAAAGAAGAGACTGCGACAAGAGACTGAGACAAGAGACTGAGACAAGAGACCGGGATAAGAGACTGCGACAAGAGACCGAGACAAGAGATTGACACAAGAGACCGAGATTCTAAAGGCGGTGGCTTGCATAGTGAGAGAGACGAGGTTTGATGACCTGACGATGATGATGATGATGATGACGTCATCTCCAGGGTATTCGCCAGCGTCCAAAGCGCCGGCGACAAGACGTTGATGCGCGAACTGACGGTGACCCAGGAGGCGTGGCTGCTCGAGGTGGCGCCGCACTACTACCGGCAGACCTAATACACTGGCGATTGATATTATTATGTGAGTTTCATTTCATTCCTACCCGCATCCACATTCCTTAAGGCAGCTCGTATAGTGACAGAGACAAGAGACTGAAATAGGAGACTGACGCGAGAATGACACAAGAGACTGACACAAGAGACTGACGCGAGACTGACACAAGAGACTGACACAAGAGACTGACACAAGAGACTGACACAAGAGACTGACACAAGAGACTGACGCGAGACTGACACAAGAGACTGACGCGAGACTGACACAAGAGACTGACACAAGAGACTGACACAAGAGACTAAGACAAGAGACTACGTCAAGAGACCAAGACTAGACCGCTACTGTAAAGGCGGCATAGTGAGACAGACAAGTGATCGAGACGAGGTTTGATGGCCTGACGATGATGATGATGATGCTGATGACGTCATCTCCAGGGTGTTCTCCAGCGTCCAAAGCGCCGGCGACAAGACGTTGATGCGTGAACTGACGGTGACCCAGGAGGCGTGGCTGCTCGAGGTAGCACCACACTACTACCGGCAGACCTAATACACTATGATATGGGATATGTGAGTTTCATTCCATTCCTATCCACATCCACATTACACGTTCCTATAGTGACAGAGACTGGAGACTGAGACTGGAGACCGAGACAAGAGACTACGTCAAAAAACCGAGACTAGACTTGTCTCTGTCGCACGGTTCGTATGGTAACAGAGACCTAATACACTGGCGATGTATATTATTATGTGAGTTTCATTCCATTCCTACCCACACCCACGTTCCTTAAGGCGGGTCGTATAGTGACAGAGACAAGAGACAAAGACAAGAGACTGAGATAAGACCGGTGTCTTATCTTGTCTCGGTAGACAAGAGACCGAGACATGAGACCGAGACCGAAACAAGATACTGACACAGGAGACCGAGAAAAAAGAATAAAAGACAAGAGACTGAGACAAGAAACCGAGACAAGAGACTGAGACAAGATACTGAGACAAGAGACCGAGACAAGAGACTGAGACAAGAGACCGATATAAGAGACTAATACAAGAGACTACGTCAAGAGACCGAGACTAGACCGAGACAAGAGACAGAAACAAGAGACTGAGACAAGAGACCGAGAAAAAAGACTAAAAGAAGAGACTGCGACAAGAGACTAAGTCAAGAGACTAAGATAAGAGACTAATAAAAAAGACAGCGACAAGAGACCGAGACAAGGGGCCGAGACAAGAGACTGAGACAAGAGACCGGGAAAAGAGACTGCGACAAGAGACCGAGACAAGAGACTGAGATAAGAGATTGACACAAGAGACCGAGATTCTATAGGCGGTGGCTTGCATAGTGAGAGAGACGAGGTTTGATGACCTGACGATGATGATGATGATGATGACGTCATCTCCAGGGTGTCCCCCGGCGTCCAAAGCGCCGGCGACAAGACGTTGATGCGTGAACTGACTTTGACCCAGGAGACGTGGCTGCTCGAGGTGGCGCCGCACTACTACCGGCAGACCTAATACACTATGATATGGGATATGTGAGTTTCATTCCATTCCTATCCACATCCACATTACACGTTCCTATAGTGACAGAGACTGGAGACCGAGACAAGAGACTACGTCAAAAAACCGAGATTAGACTTGTCTCTGTCGCACGGTTCGTATAGTAGCAGAGACCTAATACACTGGCGTTGTATATTATTATGTGAGATTCATTTCATTCCTACCCGCATCCACATTCCTTAAGGCGGCTCGTATAGTGGCAGAGACAAGAGACCGAGACAAGAGACTGAAATAGGAGATCGAGACAAGAGACCGAGACATGAGACCGAGACCGAAACAAGATACTGACAGGAGACCGAGAAAAAAGAATAAAAGAAGAGACTGCGACAAGAGACTGAGACAAGAGACCGAGACAAGAGACTGAGACAAGATACTGAGACAAGAGACCGAGACAAGAGACTGAGACAAGATACTGAGACAAGAGACTGAGACAAGAGACCGATATAAGAGACTAATACAAGAGACTACGTCAAGAGACCGAGACTAGACCGAGACAAGAGACAGAAACAAGAGACTGAGACAAGAGACCGAGAAAAAAACTAAAAGAAGAGACTGCGACAAGAGACTAAGTCAAGAGACTAAGATAAGAGACTAATAAAAAAGACTGCGACAAGAGACCGAGACGAGGGGCTGAGACAAGAGACTGAGACAAGAGACCGGGAATAGAGACTGCGACAAGAGACCGAGACAAGAGACTGAGACAAGAGATTGACACAAGACACCGAGATTCTAAAGGCGGTGGCTTGCAAAGTGAGAGAGACGAGGTTTGATGACCTGCTGATGATGATGATGCCATCATCCCCAGGGTGTCCTCCCGCGTCCAAAGCGCCGGCAACAAGACGTCCACGCGCGAGCTGACGGCGCCAGGAGGCGTACTGCTGGAGCCGGCGCCGCACTACTACCGGCAGACCTAATGAAAAAGAATACCAAGAAACACAATGAATACCATTTTAATAATAAAATACACTCAACATCAAATAAACCGCACCTTCCGCGACGCGAACTTTAAAGATTTTCTTCTGACACAATCATGGTGCCCCAACAATATTGGTGTTATTTGAAAGCCCTTAAATATCCTTACAGAAAAACACATTTTATTTCTAAATAAATGATTAACATATACCATAAATGTGACTTGAAAACAGACCTCACTTTGGGCTCACCTCTGGGATCAATTAGACCAATTTGTATGGTTATAAAACCAAATAATGATCTCACGTATCCTCTTTTACAGATGGATAACGATTAATCCCAACTTTACAGTTTTATAGCCATAAAAGTTGGCTCAAGCGTAACTACCTATTTTTTGAAGAAGTGACTGGATCCTTCTACAGACACATTTTTGGGGTAAAAACCTTTCCTTTAATGAAATGAAGTTTAGAACTAGGCTTTTAATTGGTGCCAATATTGTTGGGAAGTGGGGATGCATACGTTTGAGAAGTGCTTGTTGCGGGAGGTGCGATTTATTTGATGTCGAGTGTACTTTGTTTTCATAGTTAGGCTCAACACTTAAATAGTGACCAACGTAATAGATGTTTAAATTAACGTTCACACGAAGATCGAATTTGCAGTGTCCCGCAAAAAACCGATCCGTAAGTTCATCCGATAGTCCAGTTTTGCGGGATCCTGCATTTCTGGATTGCCGTGGGAACGAGCCCATACACCCTAGTTCGTTGGTTTCAGCCAAATGACGTCACTGCTGGACAAAAGCCTCCCCCAAGGGTTTCCACAACGACCGGTCTTGCGCCAGCATCCAGGTACCTTCACCAGATCGTCGGTCCACCTAGTGAGGGGCCCACCCACACTATCTCTTCCCAATCCAAATAAACCAAAAACAGAATCTAGTAACTAAGAAGCAATTTGAGATATTTTTGTAATACTTTTCTAACACCCGTATCCATTTATTACGCCCGTATTCACAAACGATACTTGCTTAAGTGAAGCAGCAAATCGAACGCACAGCGTTGAATAGAGCTCTGTGATTGGTTCGTGTGTCACCCTGTGCGTCCACGCGCACTGTAAGACCTCATAGTAATGTTTGTGCATACGGGCATTAGTCTGTTTCTAGCACTTGCCTACCTACAGAACTAATTTTAAACATTCGTCCTATAAATTAATCTACAACATTAGCCTGGGGGCAAATAATAATTGTTTGTATACATTATTAATAATAACAATAAATAATATCGGCCCAAGGATACTGTAACCGGTCATTAGCCCAACCGGTTGCTAGGTAGATTACTGTAAGGTACAGTCTGTGCACAGAAGAGTTAGGTACAGAAATCAAACTCATATTATGTACTTTAGTTTTCATACCTACGCTCGGCAGTCGCACTAGGGTTGTGAACTTTGGCTTAAGCGTTGTTCGTGGTTCGCATGAGTTGAATAATTTAGTCGAATTGCAAGTTATTTAGTAGCTAAACGTGTCCGAACACCAAAAACTTAGTCGAGTAGGTTACTAAATCGTTTATTTGAGTCAATCCATTTTGTTCCATTCTAACAGGCGTCCCTGCTCACTCGCACTCGCCTGTGACCTAATTCACGTATTTTGACAGTCAAGATCTCGCTGACGTTCAGAAGTCGTCCCATTGAAAAACCGTTCTAAATCCGTATTCAAAAGGGTCATTTTCGATAGAACGATTACTCGATAGGATCGCAACTCAGTGTTTTTTTGTGGTTGAAGTTTTGCTACGAGAATAAGGCTACTGATCCGAACCTTAGTCGGGTTCATAAAAAAAGGTTTTTTGGTCAGTAAGTACTGATTAGTTTTGCTAAAGGCGAGTAATACTCTACTAAATCAATCGACTAGTGCGAACTTTGACTGAAAAAAGTGCACAGAAGCGAAAGTGCAGAAAAGGCACCCACTGAAAATCAGTGTCTTGGCAGTCACACTGTCAAGATATTACTGAGTGGGTGACCTTTTTTGGCAACTTATTAATATTTTTTTTTGTGTATGTCTTTGTTGCCTGAATCTGTGGTTGTCGAAATAAAATTATTGTCTATTAGCGTGACTCAAGCGGACGGCACTCGCGCTCGCACTGGTCCGAACTGGTCCCAGATATCGTGTACGCGAGCGTTGTTTATGTGTGCGTTCGAGCGCACTTTGTATACAGCTTGCGTTCTGTACCTGTCTCTTTTGTGGTCTGTCTTATCTGTATATTAATAGCGGTTGGGTTTATTCCTCCCTTTTGTTTTATTAAGAAGATGACATGTGTTAATTAACTACATGTCTTCCGCATAATTCAGTCTGTGTCTGAGGTATGGGGGCGGCGAGGGAGGGTGTGTGACGTCAAATGTCAGCGAGACATCAGAGGGCCTAGTGTGAGATTTCATCAAACGCGCTCACTAGTGAGCGCGTCAAAAATGACATTAAATGTATGACGGATTGTACAGCGCCCCTAGCGGGAAACGTTCAAAAACTAAAATTTTCATACATTTTTTAATGTAAACTCACCCTCAGCCCACTGCTGGAAACATTTAATTTTCGGATAGATCCAGTTTATTCTGTAGCCTATTATTTATACCGTTTGAAAGAGCTTTTTAAGCACTTTCATGATCAGTAACCAGTTTTTCGATATCCTACTTCCTACTAATCCTACTAATAATATTATAAATGCGAAAGTTTGGATGTCTGGATGTTTGTTACTCTTTCACGCAAAAACTACTGAACGGATTTTGATGAAACTACAGTATTATTGTTCATAACCCAGAATAACATAATTATAGGCTATAATTTATGACGATCTGTGACAAACTAAATTTCACGCGGGTGAAGTTTGAAAGAGCTGGTGAAGCACTTTCAGGATCAGCAACCAGTTTTTCGATATCTTGTGTAGTTTAGTATAGTTTCGAGTGAGATCACTTATCGTTTCCACCCTGTATTTTAAAGCGAAAGGTCACTGACTCACTCATCACACAATCTCTGGTTCCTTATAAGGTACAGATATCCGCTAAGAACGGATTTTACAAAACTCCACCCCTAAGGGGGTAAAACGGGGTTGTTACCCGCGGTAAAACGTAGCCTATGTGTTAATCCAGGGTGTCAGCTAACTCCATACCAATTTGATTAAAATCGCTCCAGCCGTTTAGACGTGAAGAAGTAACAAACATACACACTCACAAACTTTCGCCTTTATAAATTTGTGTGATAATAATATTATATAGTGTGATAGTAGCAAGCATCCGACATGCACGGGGCTATGGAATATTTTTTTTTTATCTAAGTAGGTTTAATTTAAAACGTGGACAGGTTATCGTAATACGATTTGACTCTGCCATAATTAACTTCATTATACATACTTCTTACTTCCTCATTTGTAAATAACATGATTAAATAACTAGGTTAAAGTATAATATCTAAGAGCGCCAG